CACCCCCCACCCCCTTCAAACCCCCCCCACCCCCCCCCCCCTCCACAACCAACACCACCACCACCACCATGCTGCCACCTCCACCACCATGCTGTCACTACCACCACCTCCACAAGCGCCATCCCTACCACCACCACCTCCACTCCATCACTACCACTACTACCACATAATTAGTACATAACACTTTTAACATCATGTCTATTTTAGTCATTATTCACAGTTACAACAATTTTATATTAAAACTTACCAAACGGTTTTGACACTGCTTTTTGTACTGACAGCACTTTAAAAATATTGTTTACCAAACACGGAGCTGCTTTACTTTACAGCTAATTATTTTCAAAGCACAGCAGAAGCAACTTTTTTTAAAAGTGACAGCAATCCCAAACTGGGCCTAAATCCCTATTAAAATCCAATTTTAAGTTTTTCGTGGGCCGGGCCCTGTACGGACTAACTTTATAATACAAAATTCGAACTCGGGTGAAAAACGCACTGCCTTACTGACCTAATACTTCTACCGTTTTACACAGTTTTTTAGGGTGACATGAGTTCATAATTGGCTATATAATTAATAAATGACAAATTTAAAATTTTTCAAATTGCGTCAAAATATAATTAATAAAAAAAATAAATTCTTAATAAATAAATTCTTCAGAAATTAATAATAAAAATATTATCTCTCATCTAAGAATTGAATTCTTCTAATAAAGTACCATAATTGGAATTCAATTACGCATTCAGATTCAAATTCAAATTCCCGATTAGTAAACACAGCATAAAATTATATCCAAATTCCCGATTAGTAAACGCAGCATAAAATTATATCCGAATACCAGTCAGAGTACAAAGATAACATTCCATATAAATTGTCCCATCACTACCAACATCACGAAACCACAACCCCTACACAGCTAGATATGGAAAGTAAACATCCTTCACGATGAAGGTGAAGTAGAACTACGACTCGCAGATCTTGAAATATATCTGGAACTCGCACTAACACTCGGACTCCGATGTCTCAAGTAGCTTCTCCTAGACGATTCCCTGTAAGACCTTGAGCTCCTGCGTCCAGGAGATACACTTCGGGAGTAACTCTTCCCTGACCTCTTCTTTTTTGGTCCAGGTGAAACACTAGGGGAGTAAATACTCCTGGAGGACCTCCTAGGCCTGGGCGAAGGACTAGGGGAGTAGGGGGAGTAACTACTCCTAGATGTCCTCCTGGGCCTGGGCGAAACACTGGGTGAGTAGCTCCTCTTGTAACTCCTCCTGGGCCTGGGAGAGATGCTGGGTGAGTAGCTCCTCCTTGATCTCCTTCTTGCCCTTGGAGAGACACTAGGAGAAACATAACGATAGCAATGCCTCCTTCCGTAGTACGAGTCATCTGGTGAATACTCCCTGTAACGATGCCTCCTCCCATAGTAAGAGTCATCTGGTGAATACTCCCTTGAGTCATATGGCGAGTAGCCCCGGGCATGCTGTCTCACTGGTGACCTGCTGTAAGGGGTGCGAGACCGAGAGTAATATCTATGCCGACTGTAGTCAGGAGTGTATGATCTCCTCCTCCTGTAGTGTGGAGAGTATGACCTGCTCCTGCTTCGATCTGATGAATGAGGTGACTGGCTACAGCTCCTCCGATATGGTGAGTAGGTAGGAGATCTACGAGGAGGTGAGTAACTTGGAGTTCGTCGACGCACTAGAGCAAAATAACAGAAAATTAGAGGCCAAAAACAAGGTACGTAAATGCAAACAAGGTCTTTAAAATCAACTTACCACGAATTGTTCGCAGCCCAAGATACCTTCCGGGAGTAGGAGTTCGCCCTCTCCGCCTTCTAGCCTAAAATTAATGAAGACATGGAATGTGATCATGGAAATACCGACATACTGGGATGCAGCTAGTTGAAATCAATAATATTGGCTAAAACAAATATTGGCAACCAGCAAATGGAAATAACACAATATTTTAATTTGTAGAGAGAGAAATGCAGGGCATACAACCCCAATGTTCTGATACTTGTTGTTGTATTTGATTTGTTTGTTAAGTTGTTGTTTGGAATTTGATGAAGAGCTGCTTCACACAGCTAACCTGCTGCCACAAACACTTCAAGTGGAAAGAAGCAAACAACTTTCAAACTCAAAAAACTAAACAAATCATCTAGAATCCTGACACAATGCTGTAACATAGTGCAGTATCAAATAACATAGATTAAACAAAGTGAAGCTTGATCAATCATCAACAGTTAAAAGAAGGAACATTTACCCTCTCCACTGTAATGACACGGCCTTCAAGTACAGAGCGATCTAAATACTTAATACAGCGGTCAGCCTCATCAACATTTTCCATTGTAACAAACCCAAATCCACGAGATTCTCTTGTCCATGGATCAACCACAAGATGAACATCAATGACCTAGAAACCAATTAAACCGTGAGACCAAGGGATATATTCACAATTAAAGTCATTGCGACCCTATGATATATAATGCACATCAAACTACACGGAACCAGTCAAACAAACACACAATAATTAGCAAATGAAAATAACAATAATAATAATAAAGATAGGAAGAGGCCATCCTACTTTTCCCTCCGATGCAAAGTGCTTCTCGAGTTCTCTCTTTGTAATCCGAGGTGACAATCCAGTCACATACAAATTGTTCCCAGGATTCTCAACTGATGGGCTTCTGCAAGCCAAAATGCATAATCAGAATGCATCCACAAAGTAAAAAAGATTCAATAAATTGGGCCAAATGAGAAGCAGCTTGGTTAAAAGTACAACCTTGACCTTGACCTCGACCTCGAAACAGACCTCGAAAGGGACCTACTGTATCGTTTCGGGGAAGGAGAGTAGGAATACCTGCGAAAGAAAATGCAATTTAACAAGTCCAAAATGAATTACTACAACTAACATGGCCAATAATCAACAACACAACAGGAGAACAAAAAAGGAGTCTTTCCGAAACAAAAACACACCTTGACCTTCTGGAGTACGACATCTGTCACAGAACAAGAACAACAAAACAAACCCAGATTCGTATTAGAAATAACACGTACAAGAACAAAAGGAAAAAAATCTAAGAGAATAAATTTACGCATAAAAAATTCCAACTCTTGCATCCATAATTAACATAACCAGAGTGTATGACAATGTTGTTGCTACCGTCAATTGCTCGTTCAGCTTAATCATAAACAAACAATCAAAATAAAACTCTGATTTTTAAACCCGATTAGGACTTCACATGCGCCATTTGTTCAGAAATATTTCGAGCAAAAAAGATACACAAAGCACACTGAAGAACGAGAATGAACGCTTACCTTAGCGATCGGTGGCCGAAGAAAATCACTTTCGCTTTTGAAACTGAAGATCAATCTCTCTATCGCTCTGTACGAATCGCTGTGTCCTGAACGTGAGGACTGCGGAATAGCGAGAGATTTATATAGGCAGGAACGTAGGAGAAGTTTCTGGAGCACCGGACGCCAAACCACATTAAAATCGATTTAATTTTCTGTGGCCACTGGTTTTTTTTTTTTTCGCTAATCAAACAAGTCCTCTACGGCACCAACTGATGCCACGTGGTGGCGCGAGAATGTTTTGGTAAAACGGTCTTCTTTATTTTTTGGCCCGTTCGGTAAAAATGTCTTTAAAAGGTAATATCCACATGAAGGACGACGTTTTCATTTCTCTAATTGATATTGATCATTATCAATTCATTTGAATTATAACATGTGGTAATCTAAATTTTTATTTTATAAAATAAAATATCATTGTGTTTTATATGAAAATTTTAATTTAGTCATAATTTTTTTTTTGTGAACTCGGGGAAAAACCCCAAACAAACAAAACAAACAAATCAACCGGGCCTAGTCACGATTTTTTTTTAATTGGTCCCTATATTACTCAAATTTACAGTGAATACATTTTTGTCATTAACTTTCATATGAATTCCAATTTGGTACTAAATAAAAAATTAAATCAAAAGTCATGCAAATGCTAAATGTTATGCTCTTTTGTGTAAAATTTAGTGACCAAATTGAACTTTCGTGTACAGTTCAGTGACATAGTGACTAATTTGACTAATTTTTTTTTTATAATGATCATATTAAAATTTCATGTAAAGTTCAATGACAAACAATTTTACGTGATGAGAGGTGCAATACAATATTACGAGCTAGAAGCTCGTATATTTAGATTGGAATTACAAATTGGCAAAAATAAAGTTGGGTTGCAATAGTAAACAGTTGGGTCCAAATAGATTGGACATTCAACAAAGTATAAACCGAAGCAAAAACAGGTGACGCACCATTGAAGATTTGGACCTGTTCCCCTATTTGAAATAGAAAGTGAGCTAAAGCAAAGCAAATTTGAAGTTGGGAATTAAACAGAGCCACCGACGGGTACATCACAAAATCCCAGTTGCTGCTAACCAAAGGCAGAGTGAAGTGGTGATAGTGACGGCACCCAAAACCCGCGCATCAAACCCCCTTCGGAATCAGAACCAGAAGCAGAGTGCTTTGAACCCCAAAAACACTCAAAACCCTGGAGCCCCAAAAATGGATCCGATTGTTGCAGCAAATGGGCTCTCGTTCCGAGTCGGGTTCTCTGGCCACAGTGGCCACCTCAGGCTCGAGCCTCTTTCTACCGACGAGAGCTCCAACCCCGTCAATTCACTCCCTGATTTCGTTCTGGTCAGTCTTCTTTCCCACTTCTAGCAATTCCGCTGCAAATTTTCTTCCGCTTCTAGGGTTTGGCTTAGTTCTAATTTTGCTTTCTGGTTCTTTCTTGTACTTGTGTATTTGCTTAATTGGATACCATTATGCATGCGTAATGGGTTTTAGTATAAGTGCATTTGGAAGCTGAATTGTATTGTAGAGGGTGTCGAATTGAATGCATAATTCGCAACCATACAAAACTGGTTTCCGAAACAGGAGATTAGGAGAATGTTTCCAATTTGCTAAACGAGACTGCCAAGCCAACTCAATTCCAGCATTAATATATGCTTGTTTTTTGTGTTTCAGCCGCCGGCATTTGCTAGGGAAACGCCTGAATCAATAAAAGAGTATATAGAGGACACATATCTCTCGCCAAGATTGGACTCTGAAGTATTTTCGCCGGAGAAGGTTGGGAGGCAGTGGGATTTTGACTGGTTTGATAAGGCAAATGTACCCTTGGAGCCATCATTGCCGCGTACAGTTGTGGTTCCCACATGGGAATTACCATTTAGAGGCCAAAATGATAGGTCAGAGGGAGGTCAATGGGAACCTAAATCCGTGCAGGTATGGGGTTCACTCAATGTTTGTGTTTACCCACACAGTTAGTTTTGCAGGGGAAATCAAAACCGCAATGTGGTCATATAATTTAATTATGGATCTAAATCTTATTGGAATCTAAGTCGCCTGGATTTATTTTTTTCTTTTGGGAATTTGGCAGTATTTGAGTGATACATTTGTTACCCTTTTGCTTCTAAATGTGGCCCATAGTTTTCTTATTATTTTATTTTAGGTGGATGTATCAGAACTTACAGTAGGAGCTCAAGAGTCTGGTTCCTTGCCACGCGTGGCTGGACCAGCGAAGGATTTTGTACGGGGAAGTATCAACAACCGCCCTTTTCGCCCAGGAGGCTTGGATGATTCCAAATCTCTAGAAAGAGTTCTTCCTGATGGTGCTTCTAATGGCGAGTGGGTTCACGAACTTCTGATTGGTGGCTCTGCTCAGGCTGTACCTCCAAGCTTTAAGCAAGGATTGGACCTTGGTGATCTCAAGGTTAATTTAACTGTCATTTGGATTGAAAGTTGTAAAATTGAGTATTATATAAAACATAATATTGATAGAAGAGCTTTTTTGGAAGGCCTATCCATGCTCGTGGAATGTATATAAGGATCAAAGTTCACTGAAGAGTACGTCAGATGAAAAGGTGGTCAGTTTTGCTTTTCCGTGCTTCTCTCTCTTTCTTTCTCTCTCTCTCTCTCTCTCTCTCTCTAGTAATCTTTACCTATAAAATCTGTTTTGGTTACTAGATTATTTTAGATTTTGTTAACCGCAATGCCGTTCCCCCCTTCCAACCTCAAACTAATCAACCTAAAACAAACAATTCAAACGCTTTTAGGTTGTTATCATGTTATCAAATTTTCTACCCATCCCTCATGTTCTCATGTGTTTCTTTTCATACATTTATAATTTTTATTGGAATTTAGTGGTTACTCATTAAGTAAATTATGAGTTTAAAAACTCAGTGGTTCCTGCTATATATTTGTTTATGTGTAGGCTCAGTTAGGTGTGCCAGTAGAATCTTTTCTAGATTACAATTATCTCTTATCTTAAGTTGGCGAATGCTATTTTTATTTTTATGTATTTTTAGGATTTGCAGAGTGAGTTGTCTGTGCAGTTTGATGACTTGTTCAAGAAGGCCTGGGAAGAGGATATTGTTGAATTTGAAGGAGATGGTATGTATAATCTGCAATTGTGGTACAATTCGTAATTACATCTGTTTATTATTTTAGGATCTTATGGGTTAACAGCTATAAATAAATTCATGCTTGGGCTTTTGAAATCGGGTAGAGATAAGCAGAGTTAAAATTGTTGCCTTCGAATGAGCTCTGGTTGACTTGGCTCTATTAGGTTGAGATTGCTTGAAGTTTGTTCTCAACTAAAATTGCAACTAAATTATCAAGTTAGTTCAGTAAATTCAAGTAGATAGAGTATATTTATCCAGAACTGTGATACATTCCATGATTATGTATGGACACTGGATTGCAGCTTCTAATGCCTGCAGGGTTGATGAACCATGCATCTGTAATAAGTCTTGTGGTGAATACTTAGCTCTTTTCCTCCCTTCTCAAGCATTCACCATCAAAAATAGATTTGCATATTAACTGGGATTATGTTTGATGATGAATAAGAGTGATTGTGTTGTAATGTTGAATGTATAATAAGGATAAGAAGCTTATGTTGTTGTTAACTATTCAAGAGTAACTTTGAACTAAGGACTAAATTCTTTGAGCAGTCTATTAATTCTTGTTGCGTTCATTATTTTTTGGGCTAATATGGATGCCATCCACAAAGGTCAATTGTCAGGATCAGAATCTGTTAAGTCAGAGGACGAAGCAAATGAGGTTGATGTTGCCAGAAATTCGTGCGAGCCTGAGTTATCTGTGTTAGATGAGATTTTGTCAGTTGAGGCAAAGTCAAGATTCAATGAAACTGATGATGATGGTGAAAAAAACCCAGAGGTAATTATTTGTAAAGTAGCAGTTTACAGAAACTCTCATATTTGAACATATTTGATGCTTTGCACTGAACCTTGCTCACTGCTTTATTTTTATTTTTTAACTAGCTCACCATTGGCAGGCTTGGGCTATTAGTGGAGGTACAGAATGGATTGCAGAGAATTTTCAAGATCTTATTCCTGACAAGGCACTTGATTTTCCTTTTGAATTGGATAAATTCCAGAAGGAGGTATCGGTCAATCGAAACCCTCTTCTACAATGTTTCCATTAGTAGATTGATTTTTATTTTTATTTTCTGGGCCAACATGAGTTGATTGATTAGATCTTTACTCAGTGATTTGTTCAGAGAGGTAAAACTCTGACATATATTTTGACTTTAAATTTCTATGCATGGCTTTCCTTGGTTTGTAGTTTGTCTTATGTCCCTTTCACTGATATGATTCAGTAACAATGATGGAAAAAAATATCAATAGTTGATTTACAAACATGAACATTACACTCGCCGTATATTTCAAATGTGGGACGTTGGACATGTCCCAAGACATTGGTTGCTTTGACTGCACAATGATGTCAGCATGGTTAAGTGTGCTGTACATTATTGTAATGTAGAGAACAGGACTATATATGTGCATGTTGTTGGGTGGGTTATATCGTTAGTGCTCTTGCGAAGGTTAAAAATTTAACAGTTGTGTAGATTCTCAGATACATTATCCTCATTTTCGCCATTAGCACCAGAGAGGGTTGCCTTAACATCTTTATCTCTTCTTTACAGCATCTAGATATCATGATAACTGTCATTAGAATTTTCATGTCATAGTAAATTGTGGGATTTCGTCAACAACAAAAAATTATACGTAGAAATCCTTCATGAGCAAATAGTTTTGCTACTTTTCTTTCACTGTTGTAGTGTACAAAGTTTTTTATATTTATTATCTTAAAGAGTGGCTTCGAAAATTCTGTTTTTTTAGGCCCAAATAACCTTTCCTTTGTGAAATGTTTACAGGCTATTTATTATCTTGAAAAGGGGGACTCTGTCTTTGTTGCTGCTCACACATCAGCTGGAAAGACAGTTGTTGCAGAATATGCATTTGCTTTAGCATCAAAAGTACAGCCTAAATTCTTAAGCTCGTGGTTCTTTTTACTTTTTTATATTTGATTATTTGTTAATTAAATCCCTTATGTTAATGTTGGGCAGCATTGCACCAGAGCTGTGTATACTGC